CACACACACACACACACACTTACACTATATACACACAGATGCATACACACAGAATACACAAACAGTACACAAACACAGTATATTCACACAGTACACAGACACAGTATATGCACATACATACACAGAACACACACACATACAGTTTACACCAACACAAACAGTATAAATACACAACATACACACATGCACCCACACACAGTTTATGTATACACACAGAAACACACAGTGTATACACACACATACACATTGTACATATACACAAACACACACAATACACACAAAAACACAAACACACAGTATATGCACACAGTAAATGCACACACATACATAGAATTTACACAGAAACACACAGTATATACAAACATACACAGTGTACATACTCAAACACACACACACAGTATATGCACACAGTAAATACACAAACATACACAGTATTTACACAGAAACACACAATATATACACACACATACACAGTGTACATACACAAACACACACATACACACACACACATACACAAACACACACTGTATATGCACACAATAAATACACAAACATACATGGTATTAACACAGAGACAGACAATATATACACACACATACACAGTGCACATACACAAACACACACAGTACACACACACAGTGTGTGCACACAGTAAACACACACACATACATGGTATTCACACAGAGACACACAATATATACACACACATACACAGTGCACATACACAAACACACACAGTACACACACACAGTGTGTGCACACAGTAAACACACACACACATACATGGTATTCACACAGAGACACACAATATATACACAAACACACACAGTATATGCACACATACACTGACACAGTATATAAACACACAGACACAGAGTATACACAAAAACACACATTTGCACACGCACACAGTATATGCCGACATATACACACACGGTAAACATTAGATTACAGCAAATACACACATTACTGTATATGCACACACCTACACTGTACACACACACAGTATATAAACACACATATTATACACACACACAAGTGCACAGTATACACACATATGCAGACAGTACACACAAAGTATTGTACTGTATATACACACATACACACAGGCACACACTGTATGCACACAAACACAGAAAGTACACACACACACACACACAGTATATGCACACACATACACAGTACACACACACACACATATGCACACATACCCACACATACAGTACACACACACAGTCTTGTACTGTATATGCACATACACACATAGTAAACACACACAGACAGACACACACATTATGCATACACACATGAGCCGGAGCTGTCTTCTCTTGTACGGGATGTGTTTCATTTCTCTGCCTGTTTTTTTTTTTTTTTTTTTTGGTTTCCACCCCACAGAGAAGCCGAGAATGAACAATATCCTGACGTCTCAGACGGAGCCGTATGACCTGTCCTTCTCCCGCTCCTTCCAGAACCTCACACACCTCCCGCCGTCATACGAGATGGCCATGAAAGCAGACTTAGGTGAACAATCAACACTCCATTTACTGTGTGTGTGTGTGTGTGTGTGTGTGTGTGTGTGTGTGTGTGTGTGTGTGTGTGTGTGTGTGTGTGTGTGTGTGTGTGTGTGTGTGTGTGTGTGTATGTGTGTGTGTGTGTGTGAGGGAGAGATGTTTTCACACATGTACATGCAGAATTATAAAGAAAAATGTTACAAGAACAAAAAAATTTATTCATATTATGGGTGTTTTATGAAGCTAGATAAATCTTAAAAATAGATTGAGCCCTGAGCTCAGAATATCCTTGAGCCCGGGGCTCCCTCCCATTTGAAGGGCGAGAGGGGAGTTTGAGCTCATGTAGGTCTGGAGAACCCTCCTGCTTGTGAACGTGCTGAGATATAGCTGGCTAAAAGTTTGTCTTAAGATGCTACTTGGGGGTAGTCAATTTGGGAGTTGAAGGAAATCTTGGGAAAACCAACACGAGCACAGGGAGAACATGCGAATTGGCACAGTAATGCCAACCGGCCTGGTGAGGGACCAAACCAGCAGTGTTCTTGCTGTAAGGCAACAGTGCTAACCAATGGGCTGCCGTGCCGCCTTATCAGGAAAAGAGGAGGAGTAGGGGTAGAATGGGGGATTCTTCAAGACGAAGATGACTGGAGTGATTGATAATAAGGTGTATTTGACATGCTGTCCGGGGAGCTCAGAATATCCTCAAGCCCAGGGCACCCTCCCATTTGAAGGGCAAGAGGGGAGTTTGAGCTCAGGTAGGTCTCGAGAGCACTTTGCTTGAGAAAATGCTGAGATATAGCTGGCTAAGAGTTTGTCTTAAGATGCTACTTTGGAGTTGTAAATTTACCTATGGTGTATGTCTTTGGACAATGGGAGGAGACCGGGGAAGCTGGGGAAAACCCATGCGAGAATGGAAAGAACATGCAAATTTGCACAAAAACGCCAACCGGCATGGTGAGGGACCGAGCCTTGCTGTAAGGCAACAGTGCTGCCCTATCAGGAGAAGGGGAGGAGTAGGGGTGGATGGAGGGGAATCTTCAAGACGAAGATGACTGGAGTAGAAAACTCTGGTTATTTATAGTGAGTCAGTATTAATCTCATTAGTGCAATACATGGAGCTGATGCGAAACCAGCCGTGTTCAATCATAAGCATGTGACCCTCTCGAAATTAGTTTATAAATAAACCACACTTCAAGAGTTCACACTTAGCTGATGATTGTCAGATGATGATTGATAATAAAGCGTATTTGTCATGCTGTCCTGGGAGAGAGCCCTGAGCTCAAAATATCCTCGAGCCTGGGGCTCCCTCCCTCCCGTTTGAAAGTCGAGAGGGACGTTTGAGGTCAGGTACGTCTCGAGAACTCCCAAAAATGCTTTTAGCTTGAGACAGCAGCCGCGTATTGAAGAACCCCCAAAAGGCAAAGATCATTATTATATACGGCTGCTGGATATAAAATTGAAATATGGAGAAGGAAAGCTGGAGCGAAGTTG